GCAAACTCTTGTTGTTTCTTGGGCATGCTGCACAGGGACTGAAATTTATGTTCTGTTGAGAAAATGCATCCAGTTTATAAGGTACAGAAATAGAAACTTGAAATAATATGAATATTTATCATTTTCCTCTCTGTACAAGAGTTATGCATAATTACTTTTCAATTTTTAAATAGAATATTATTATTAAATATTGCAAGGAAGCAAGTTATAACTGGCACCATCCTACCTAGGTTATGAAAAAAGTGATGAGGAATGAAGCCTCCATTTCATCTTGAGGTTATTACCAAGTCTCCTAAGAACTTGGCCACAGACAACACTTTTTTCTTCCACCTCTTTGATATAATAGTACCTTATTGCTCAGAATTCTGAAATTAAATTAATAGGTCATGGTAGAAAAAAGCTGAAGAACAAGATGGAGTGATGTGGTGTTAGTACCTGACATTTACGAACTCGAGTAGGAATTTGGAAAAATATCACATTTCCATTGATGTCTGTCTTCTTGAATCCTGAATAGTTGACCTATCACACACTCATGGTCTCCTTCCCCCGAGAAGGCTATGGTACCTCATCAGGGCTGTGGCAAGAGTCATCAGGGCGGAGACAGGAGTCATTTGCAGCTCTGTAGTCCACGTTATCATCTCAGTGGGTCCTGCCGGCCGGTGCGCCGCGGCTTGATCCTTCACTGTGCAGCAGGGAGGTGGTGGAACCTTCCAAGGCAGGGCCTGGTGTCCGGCTCCCCTGGTCCTGAGGGTGTCCCCTGGGGCATTGGAGAACCAACCCTTCCTCTGTCTCCTTTTGGTGCCCCAGCCATGAGGGGAGTGGTTCTGCTCCACCCCGTGCTCCCCATTAGGGTGCAAGCCTCGCTGCAGACCACGTGCACCAGGGCCAACTCCGCCTGGACAGAAACCTCCGGAACTGGGAGCCAAAATAAACATTTCCTCTCTGAAGGTGATTATTGCAAGCGTTTGGTAAACAAACTGAAAATTGACTAATACAAATGTCAAATAATAAAATAAAACCCATATTTTAAAGAAATGTGAACTGTAAAGTAAAATCTAGCTTGCTAGCAGTTGGATATCCAGAAGATGGAAGCATTTTGGGTCAGCCATGAGTTAGGCTGGTAACACGCGCTTGTTTCCTACCATTTTCTTTGTGTGCATGCAAGGTATTATTTATTTGATAGGTGGTTTGTTGTATCTCACACAGCTCGGACAGAATATAATCAATAATCCATGTGGGTGTTTGCAACTCCCTACCTGCTCTGGCCTTGAACACTGTGGTCCCCACGGCTTGTGAGATAGTTTGGATTTGGAAAGTGCCCCAAGGGGCCAGGTGCCGGAGCCTTCACTGCCGTCCTGTGGTTTTGGGGAGGTGTGCAGAACACTTACGACTCGGGATTTGCTAGGAAATCTTGGAGTTGCCCGCAGCATGCTCCTGCTCTCCCCTCTTGGGCGTCAGGTGAGCAGTTTTGCTCTGCCACAAGCTCTTGCCTGGAGATGCTGTCTCGTCGGAAAACAAAGGAGCCACCTGGTCACGGATGGAGGACACATTAGGGACTGTGAGCCCGGATCACTCTTCTGTGCACCGCAGGTCATTGTTACAGTGATGGAAGCTGACAAATGTGGCTCAATGCATCACATCCACATCGGCTTTCTCTAAATCAGAGATGCACCCAACCCTTTTATCTGCTTTCTATTTTGAATTCTGAATTGTTTTTCTTTAAGCACTTACTACAGGGTAGAGTGTTTTTAGTAGGTTTTTGTAAAATTTCCTGTCTCTCTCTCTCTCTCTCTCTCGACAAAAGTATCCAAGGACAGGATCAGTCTTGGTCAGTGCTTCAGCAGAGTTTGGAGAGTTCCTGGTCCATGGCGGATGTGGGACAGAGATTTCTGGAACGAATGGAGAAAGGAGATCCTCTGGCACTGAAACAAACACCTGGCAGATTACCATCCAGACTATCCTGTTATCATCTTTCTTCTGCTTTCCCCTTACTTTCTGTTTTGATATCTCAATATAACAGCCCAGACAAAGCAACAAAAACAAGGAATAAATCATCCTCAGAATACTTTAAGAACCCTAACAAACTCAGTCTTATACCTAAAGGATGACATTCATTTTAACTAATATGATTTACATCAAATCTGTTAAGTAATGTCATAATCCAGCCCTATATTTTAATATTGAGTTATAAATTGGCATATTTTACTTTCAAAAGCTAGACATTTTTCTAACCTCAATTATTTGTTTTACACAACTTTGGATCTCCTGAAAAACAAAACCAGGAATCTCCTATGCTTTTATATACGCACCCTTTTTGAGATAGCGACTCTCTATGTAGTTCAGGCTGGCCTGGAAATCCCTCTGTAGCCTAGGCTGGCTTTGAGCTCAAGATGATTCTGCTGCCTCAGACTTCCAGCTGGTGGGATTACCAGACATGTGCCGCCATACCCAGCAGGAATCTCACATGCTTCAAAAAATTCTTGAAAGATTTTTAAAAATTAAAAAAATTATAAAAAACCCCAATTTCATAAAAAATAAGAGAACAGCAACAATTAATTCATTGTGCATCCTGTTGTTTAAAAATTAATTTTAAAGAACAGAAACATTCTTCCAACTATAGGAAAAATTTAAGAAAGTGCATTTTTCACTAGACTACTTACTTGTCTTATTTTTCCATCAGGTGTCAGACTTATGACTTGGCTGACAACACTTAATTTTAATTTATTCACCGCTCCTTCAGTTCTCAATTTTGATGAATATGCTGATGAGGGAAACTGTACTTAGCTTCTTATTCAGTAGCTATACTGTGTCTTCTCAAACTTGGAGTAAGCACTTTTTCATGAATTTTTTTTTCAGCTAAATTAAAAATGAATATATTGAGCTGTACCCTAAGTGCTATTCCCTCCATGAAGATTTACAGTGAATTAAACAAAATCATTTCTCAAATATTCGGGGAAGATCAACTACCAGCAGCGTTGACAATGAAAACTCTTGTCAGAGTTGGGCAGAGCTCAGGCTGGGGACTCTTCGACGCTTTGTACCTGAAACGCCATGCTACGCCCTGTCCACTGCTTTTCATGCTCTCTCTCAAGTATCTGTGTCTCAAGTGTCTCAGCAAAACCAAGCATAGCACAAAAGAAATATTAAAAGATTGTGCTGACTTGATATGTTTGTGGAGGCAAAATCTCTTGAAAAGTATTTATTTTGTGTTTGCAGTGCCTAATAATTATATTTACAGTGAAGAGTTGCATGACACAACTTAACCCTGTTTTGTTCCCTGTCCCTCCAGTCCCTCCCTGTTCTTCCAACACTCAGTCCCTTCTCATTCTCAAAAGCTCTGTTCCCATTTTTTAAAGATTCTTTTTCCACACTTCCTGCCCCTCTGCTTCTTGCTTCCCCTCCCTACTTCCTGTTATTGATCTAGTTTGTTGCTTATTCATTTTTTTGTATTTTTCATATAAGAGAAATCATGTGATATTTAACCTTGTGAATCTGATGAAAAATATTTTTAAAGAAATTATTAAATCTATGTGACCAATTATTGGTGTATTTTCCAGATATTACGAATAAAAGATGAATTAGAAGTTTGTTAAATTCTTTTTAAAAAATCCATTGTTCACTTTTTTTGTTTCTGCAGACTTTTGAGTTTTCCGATTTAATAAAAGTTTTTGTTAAAGAAATTTTAAGAAAATAACTTTAGAAAAGTTTAAAATGCAATGTGTCTCGATTCATTTCAAAATACTCGGAAGCTATTTTGCACAAAATTCTCCCATTTCTAACAGTTTCCACTCGTATTTCATGTTTCTCTGTGTTTTTAGCTGTGAAAATATAACAATGACTCAGGTTTGATGCTTCGTCTTCGGGTAAATGCAGATTGAAAATATTTGACGACTGAGTCAAATTTCTGAGCCAACTTTTTCCTGTTCAGAACACACTGAACTATTTCTTTTACTATTAAAGTAATGTTTTCCAGACTAGGGGAGGACAGGGAACCGGAGAGGCGGGTTAATGGGTATTGAGGTACAGATAGGAGTCTTAGTCACACAGAACCTTGTTTCAGCGAGGCAGGGAAATCTGCACAGTTCCACAAAATACCCCAAGGGGGCAGCATGGTGCAGCTCTGCAGCTACTGAGAATCTTATATTCCAGACCTCAAGATGGTTCTTGTGGCTTGTTTTCTCTCTGGGTAATCAACCATTTCTAGGGAAAAGGTCTCTAAAGGAAAACAGGGTTTGTCATTCTGTCACTCCTCCTTTGTCCTGTTTTTCTGGTCCATGATTAATAGCGGACAGTCTTTCAAGAGCAAGCATTCTCCTGAGGTCTGGGAGGGGAGGCGAGGAGAAAGTCCAGGGCCTGAGAGCACAGGGTCAGGGAAACTGCGGTGGCCCGAGGCTGGTTTTCTAGTCAGGGCTCCCCGGGGAGGCAAGACAAGGAGGCGGGGTCCAGCCTTGGCGGACAGGATTGTTAGCTTCCTCCTGGATTTGGGTGGGTTCAGAGCTTCCCCTGGTTCAGGAAGGTTCATGGGGTCTGAGCATTTGCTGTGAGCGGCTGGGGAGTGGACCCCAAGGAGAGACGAGGTCAGAGGGGGCAGGGTCCGGAGAGAATCAGACTGAATTCAAGGCCCATGCCCGGCCTGGGAAGGTCTCACTCCTGGGGGACACCGGGGAGCACTGCAGGGCATCGCTGGCTGGCTTCCCCAAGTGTGGGCTGTGAATCAGTCATCTGTGAGGATGCGGTGGTGACACTTTCTGAAGAGTCGCTAAGATTTCCACGCCTCCGGTTCTAGGTTACACTGACAATTAGGGAGTATTTTTCAAAATACAAGAATAGGAAATGTAAAAGGGGTTGACGGAATTGGCACATACGAATATTTAAAACACCATCCACAATGTGTGGTAGGGCAAGTTTAAAAATATAAAATTATTTCTCAGGCATTTAAAGAAAAAAGCATGAAATGCGACTGTCGTTGGCATTAAAGAGTGTAAAAGAGTAGAGGAAGCTACACACGATGAAAGTACCAGCAGTGCTTTCGGAGTAAACCATCTTTTACTAAAAATTTGAGAAAGATTTGTGAAATTAATTCATCTATGCGGCGAAGTTCAGACCAATCAAACTACTGTCTTCCTTTATCTGAAGAGGGTCCGGCTGCCTGCAGGTTTGTTGCTGTGATTGCGCCTGTCCGTTAGCCTTAGCACGGCCCTGAGAGCTGCAGGTACTGACAGTGAGGTGAGCTGACCACCAGACCAAGCTCGGACTAACTGTGAAGCTCCTGCATCCTGCTTTTGCCCAGGACCTGGGAGCACTTTGAGCTGCTGAGAGTTTGAAGGTGTTTGGGATGGTAAGGTAAGACAGGATACGACCTGGAAATTGCCTAAAGATTTATTAGAAGAAAGGGACTTAAATTCCTAAGCCTTCTTTAATTTCCTGGGCTTTAAAAAAATCTCATTCTAAGACACCTTCACTTACGTGGAATTTGTGTTTTTAATTTATACTCTTTTTAACAAAAATGATCTCTCTCTCTCTCTCTCAGGTTAATATTAACAGAATCTTAACCCATCCTTGACTGCAACAAGGAAATGCAAAGTGTGTAACCGGTGAAACCCACTGCAGGCGTGTCTGGCTCCCGCCGTGATGGTGCAGGGTGGGTGACCAGTAGGTGAGAAAGCCTTACCCCATAGACGCTCAGACCTGCATGGAGGACGTTGTCGTCCTTGATGTGGCTCAAGGTGATGGTGGGGCCATCAGCATTCTAGGCCAAGAGGAGGGGAAGAAAGAGATGCTGGGAGGGCTTTGTGGGCCCACCAGGGTGGGGGAAGGCCTTCACTCTGTTCACACTCCCTGAGGTCAGTGACGCGGCTGTCACCCAATGGGAGTCGGGCAGGGAAGTCATCTAGTAGGGTGCACAGGAAGTGCCAGGAAGGAGGGATGTCGGGCAAAGCAACGAAGTTCATCCAAAGATCCTCGCCATCGGGGCTTGCAGCCTGCACACCTGCGCCTTCTTGGCTAATATGGCCTTCTAGATGGAGCTAGAGAGGGTTCTAAAATTTATATGGAAGATTTAAGATCAGACTCTCGCCATGCATTTACTTCTCAGTTGTTAAACACACATGAACTTAATGCTTACTTAGAGTCTTATGGACATTAATGACAAAACAGGAATAGACTTTAGAATCTGGAGAGAGTTTGGACTGTATGGTACAGGACCAGGAAATGGGTGGTCCACGGCCAGTGCTCCTTGCCCTCTGCGGCATGAGGAGCACCGTGGGTAATCAATCGCACATGTGTTGTTGAGCCGGGGGAAATGGCTTGTGAGATGGAAATTAATTGTGTGAGATCTTTCAATATGTTTGTCCCGAAGCAATGTACAAATACCACAAGGATTCATGGGTCCATGACGAAGGCATTGTAGATGAAAGGGACTAAGGCACAGAAAATTCCGTCATTAGACAAGAAAGTGATTTGCAAAGTGAATGTTGCTGTTTACAAAATGACAAGTATAATGCCTAATTTACAAATATTTTCCAAGTCATGTTAATTGAAATAATACATAGATGACTTTTGTTAACTGTAAAGCACTCTGGAATTATAAGGAGTTCTTACTGTTATTTTTAAGCACTGTCCTAAGTTTCCCTTTATGGCTCCTTCCAAACCTGAACAGTGTATGAGAGATACCCAAATATATTTATTTGAAAACACTTCAAAATAACTTGGGAACTTTTGGCTGTCTCAGCTAAGCCTGGGAAATTATAACTTCCAAAAGAAAATATGACTTAGGATGTGTTTGCGGTAACAAACATAACTTTCCAGAAAAGTAGCTAATGCTTGAAGGTAATGTAAATTAAGAATGAAAACAAGATTTATGTTTGAGATTTTAAAAAAACTTCTAACCAGGCATGGTGGCGCATGCCTGTAATCCCAGTATTCGGAGGCTGAGGCAAGAGGATTGATGTGAGTTTGAGACCAGCCTGGGCTACAAAGTGAGTTCCAGGTCAGTCTCAACTAGTGAGACCCTGTCTCAAAAAAAAAAAAAAAAAAAAAAGTATGAAAAACTTCTGTGCTTGAAGTTGTCTTATTTCCCCTTTAAAATCTCTCATGAAAATTACAGATCCTCCTATATAATTTGGTTTCCATTCTAAATTGTCCATATTTTCTATTGGATAAAAGTGAGTAATCCATAAGATTTTTCTCTTATTATTACAATCTGGGAGACTGTTCTAAATTTAAAAGATTGGCAAGAACATAAAAAATTTAAATAATACAAAAATAAGTCATCAGATACCCAAAGTAGCAAATATGCTTTAAGATCTGCTTAATAATTGCAAACTTATTACAAAGAACCTTATTTATGCAGAAGCTGACCATATGCTAATAAGAGGTTTTCATTGTGTGTTAAAATTACTAGTCAGAGGCTTGGGTGAGTTGACATATGGTCAGTGTAACTAAACCAACTGCCAGCGCCCAATCCTTCTACTTTCTAACTAATTTTATCTAAAGCTTCAGATTCTAATCTATAAAATGTAATCATTAACTAAAATACAGTGACTTTAAAAGTCTTTAGACACAAGGAAGTTCTGGATACTAGATTAATGTTACCCTGATAATTCCAGATTTATTTTTAAGATGGTCCTATATATTTAGAAGGTTGTTTGCAGCACAGCTCAGAAACTACTTCCACCTTTCATATGAAGGCAAACAGGAATTTAAAGAAATATTTCAAATAAAGCAGTGAATGTTACAAAAGTCATAATGCAGAATTTCTACCTGTGGAGTCAAGGAGGTGGTGGGAAAATCACTACATAGCGAAAGTCACCAAATAACACAAGATCACCAGGCAACAGTGCATGTGACGAAAGACAAAGTGGACAGCTCTGTAAGGAGTGCTGTCTGAATCAGGGTGGCTGTCAGCTAGGGCTGAGGAAGTGGTGTGACCTTGCTGGCTTCGACACACCAGTAAAGTTTGCTTCAGTGCAGAGAAAAGCAGCAGCACAAGCATTTCTGAGGAAGGTGTGGAAAACCAATCAAGCAGCCAATCAACCAAAAAATAAAATAAAATGAAAATTTAAAAGTGGAAATTATAAATCATTTTCAAAGTAAGTGAAGGGCCCTCTTCGATAGAACAGTGATGAAACATCATGTACTTTGTAAGTTGGGCCGCTTGAGTGCCAGGCAGACAGCAGGCTAGGCTTCATTTTGTAAAAAATGTTGAGTTAGACATCCACTTCTACAAAGGTGGAGTAGATATATTCTTGCTAATTCTTCCCATTAGGTAAATATAAAGACTTGGACATTTACATATAAGACTTCGTAAAATTCAAAGAGAAGAAGCAGACAAGCAAGGGATCTATGGACCTGAGGATCAGTACGTTGAGTTTCTTAGGATTCTTGTATATCTCAGATTTGGAGCTGAAGAAACCACCAAGGTAGATGCAGTAACTGGCATACACAGGAAAATGAATACCCCCCCATCCCATGCCAAACACAATCCAGCCAAAGGACCAAAGGAGTAGAAGTCTATCAAGGTAGAAAACTCTCAGATAAGAACAGTTCTGCTCCAGACAACCACGGCAGAAAGCCTGGTGACCACACCCTCAGCCACAAGGGCCAGTGGAGAGCTTTCAACCAAGCCAGCCTGTGACAAAGCACTCACTCTGGCTTTCAGGGAGTGTCAGAGAAAGTGAGTTCATCCCCCCTGGGTGGTGAGGGGTCTACCTGACTGTGCAGAGGCCACATGGGTCAGGAGTGGCGGCAGTTGTGGGGTGAAGAGAGTTACTAGTGGAGGCCATGTAAGAGCCGGGCAAGCACTCTCGCTGGCCCTGGTCACCGAGTTTCCAGTGCAAGCCTCGTGGGGAGCTGGAACTTCCTGTCCTGCCTAGCAGCTGAGGACCCCTCCCACCAACCTGAAGGTCAGTAGAGGCCGAGTAAGGACCTTGGATCCCTGGGCACTTGTGGAAAGTAACATGCACTATAAAACTCATACATAAATATTTATAGTGGCTTTTTTTATAATAACTAACAACCAGAACCAACCCAGATGCCACTCAGCAGCTGAAGGGTTCATCGGTGGTTCATCCACGTCTTGGAAGACTGCTTGGGAATAAAAACAAAGGAACAATTGGTACAAGTGACAAACTAGATGAATCATTAGAGATTCATGCCGAGTGAAAAAAGCCAATCTCAAAAGGTCATATGTCCTGATTGCATTTAAACGTCAGTCCTGAAATGACAAAGCTACGGAAACGGGGAGCAAATGAGTAGCTGCAGGTGTTAAGGACAGGGCGAGTGAGAGGAGAGCCAGTCTGGTTTTGCCCATCTGACTGGACAGATCCCTGTGGTGAGGGATTGGTTAGAATCTTCACTGTCTCAATACCAACAGGGTTTCTGTGACACTGAGCTGTTTAATCTTTTTACACCTCTACAGTTTTCCTATTGGTGGTCACGGGATGAAGAACACGGGGGACCTTTTTATATTTTTCTTCCACCTGAAGATAGATCTTCAATCATCATCGAAGTAAAAAATGTTAACTTAAAAATGTAGTAGTTAATTGCTGGTCTTTTCCTATTTTTGCAAAAAGTGCCAATCTAAGGCTAGATTAGAAGTAGGCACCTGGAGAAGGATGAAGGAGGAGACCAGAATGAAACCAACAGCGATGGGTCCTTTCTCCAAGGCAAACCTGCTCATCCTAAGAACTTGAATATTTATCCCACCAATCTGAGGATATCGTAAGAACAGCTGACTAATGTTAGCAACAGACTTTGCAGAGCTGAAGGCTCCATCTTTACCCAGGACCAAGGTTTCTTGCTATCTTGTGCTTAAAGTCCTGTGATGTGGGAACATCTCTATGTTTATAACAAACACCACTTTTAGCTCCAGTCCCTTTCATTTCTTGCAGCAGTCATAGAAACAAGTGGATCATTAGGGTCATTTTACATTAGATACTTTAGCTAACAAGCGGTACGTGTGAAGTACTTATGTTCCTTCAAATGCTGCATACTGAAACAATTATTTTAGCATCGCAATTTTGATCCAATCTTAAAGTCAATATTCTCAGATGGTAGATGTTTGGCTAATATGTAAGTTAAAGAAAGAGATGAGAGATGATTAGGGAGAACCTGTAAGAGCTGATGTGCCTACTATGTTTCAGATATGCATCCATACCTCATACCTAAAATAGAGAGAGTTTGATCTGTTAGCAGCTTTCATCACAAGTGTGTAGTGGTGAAGGTGTACAAAGTGTCACACGATACTTTAGAGACATCAGGATCACCGTACGTTCAATCGCCCTTTACACAGAAGAGGGGCTCTGAGTACAGTTTCCAAGTCTGCTCCATAGAACTAAGTGGAACATAGCTCGTCCAACACAGGAGGGCAGGGCTTTATCTTAGTCCTTAGAAAGGTCCTCAGGAGTCTGAGTCTACAATACAGAAAAAAAGAAGAATAAAAATATAATAATACATTTTTTTCTTTTTATTGAGTTTATTGGTACAATCTAGGTATATAATATAGTTACATTCATTATTGGGATCCTGTATCTTTACATGACAGGTCTTGGTTTTCATTTTTTCCCCTTGTCCCTGCCCTCCCTTCACCCCCTCCTCTCCTCCCCATTTACAAACACTTTATTTCCATTTTTTCAATTTCTCATATGTTTTCCTCTCCCTTATTACCTTATTACCACCCTTCCCACTTTCCCTACACCTTTAGCCCTTTACTTCCTATTTCACATTATTAATTATCTCATTAGGATCCTGTGTACTATTATAGTTTTTCACACCAGAGAAACTATTCAGTATTTCAGTTAAAGAAATCTCTGTATGAACATTAAAAATAGGGAATCCTAAAATAAAACTAAAAAGGAAAGTAAAAGAGAAAAGGCAATGATATAAGATTAAAATAATCCTTAATTCTGAAGATGAAAATGGTCCCTTAACATATTTAAATTGCTTCTTGCTCTTGTAGTCTTATCTTATTCTTTCTTTTCATAATTTAGAGAATACTTTATTAGTTTCTGTAATCAAACCCATGTTAAAAGTAAAAAGACCAATAATAGCAGTATGTTATGCATCAATAGCAGCAACAGCTTTTCCAGGTTCTGGAATCATCTGAACAAAATTATAGACATTCAGCACATTCCATTAAATAAAAACACAAAAAAACAAAGAAAAGAATAATATCCAGAAAACAGCAAAGTTCTGTTGCTGTTGTGGTACCTGGCACCATTTTTTTTATTAGTAAAAAGACCAATAATAGCAGTATGTTATGCATCAATAGCAGCAACAGCTTTTCCAGGTTCTGGAATCATCTGAACAAAATTATAGACATTCAGCACATTCCATTAAATAAAAACACAAAAAAACAAAGAAAAGAATAATATCCAGAAAACAGCAAAGTTCTGTTGCTGTTGTGGTACCTGGCACCATTTTTTTTATTAGTGTCTTAATCATCATCTGGAAAGAGAATGTTCTAGAGTAATATCATTAAATATAGCTTTGATAAAGCATGGTCACTACTATGTATCATAAAGCAGGTACAAGATATTTTACATTCACAGAGGTATGATACATTACTGTTCTACATCAATAATACTAGAATCAGTTTTGGTTTGAAATTTGCTTTATCTGCAAATAAGATTGCTACCCCTGTTTTTTTCTGGGCTCCTGTCACATGCAGAATTGTTTTCTATCCTTTCACTTTCAGTCTATGGGCTTATTTTTGCACTAGGTGTGTTTCTTGTATACAACATATTGTTGGATTTTGATTCTTATTCCATTTTGCCAGTCTATTTCTCTAGATTGGTGAATTGAGGCCATTGACATTGGTGGTTATAACTGATATGTACTGACTTATTATTGACATGTTATTGGCCTTTTGTTGACTCTTTTTACATTTCACCTTCTCCTTTTAGTTTCTTGCCTTGCCTATTTGATTGCTCTGTTGGGCCTCATGGTGTTGTTGCCTTCATTGTCTTTTTCTAGGATCTTGTTTAGAATTGCTTGTAGTGCTGGTTTGGTATTCATGTAGTTTCTCAGGTGTTCTTTGTTGTGGAAGTGTCTTATTTCCCCATCCATTTTGAAAGAGAGTTTTGCAGGATACATCAGTCTGAGTTGGAGGTTGTTCTCTTTTAGTACTTGAAATATTTCATTCCAGGCTCCCCTTACCCTGAGGGTTTGTGTTGAAAAGTCTGCTGTGATTCTGATGGACTTTCCTTTGCATGTGATTTGTTTCTTTTTTTCTTTTTCTTTTCTTTTTTTTTTTTTTGGTACCAGGGATCGAACTCAGATCCTTGTGCTTGGGAGGCAGGCCATCAAACCACTAAGCTAAATCCCCAGCCCCGCATGTGATTTGTTTCTTTTCTCTTCCTGCTTGTAGTATTTTGTTCTTCTGTTGGGTTTCTGGGATCTTTATTATATGTCTAGGTGTAGATTTTTTTTTTTTGATTGTGGCTAGTTGGGGTCCTATATGCCTCACTTATCTGAATGTCAAATTCTTCCCCTCTGTTTGGGAAGTTTTCTGTCATTAATTCTGTGAACAGCTTTTTTAAGTCATTTATATTTTCTCCTGCTACTTCATGGATTCCTATCAGTCTTATGTTATTCTTCTTTGCATCATCTAGGAGTTGTTGGATTGATTTCTTATGATCCCTTACTGTTTTTAAGAGACCTCTCTTTTCATGTTCACTGACTGTAATCTTACCTTCTATATCTGAGAGTCTATCTTTGCATTCTCTTATGCTGTTGCATACACTTTCAATGGAGTGTTTAATCTCCTGGATATCTGTTTGAATCTGTTTTATGGATTCCATTTCTTTCCTATGTTGGGAGTTTATTTTTCCATTTCTTTCTTATGCTGGGCCTTCATGGCTTCTATCGTGGTCCTGAGCTCATCTATTTTTTTGTCAGTTTCTGGTCTAGAGTCTCGAATCATGACTTCCATTTTGCTCACTATCTCTATGGTTATCTGGGAAATTATTTCTGTTTTGAATTTTTCTAGAGCCTGATTGATCTGTTTTGTTACTTCCTGTGCTTTGAGTTCAGGGTATCCTGCTGGTCCACTATCGGCCTTTTCATCCTCCTTTGCCCTACTGTTTGCCATTGGTGAACTGGAAGTCTGTCCTTGTGTCTTGCTTAAGTGTTTTCTCATTTTTATTTTTGTTGTCGGACTGTCCTTGGTTTAATCTCTGGGTTATCACCCAAATCTTACTGATATAGTTATGCCCTAGTTTGTGGGTCTGTAACGACCCATAATAATAAATTTTTGCATAGCTCTGAAAACCTAAGGAGAATATCCAACTTTGGCCCACTTCCTTCTTCAGTCTATTTTCAAATCCAATTATTTTTGCTTGATTGTTGAAGTATATTTAGTACCATATGCTTCATATACGTTGGTGACTTTTTTCCTCTTATTTTGTTTTTCATGTAATACTCCAGCAGATCTGGGTTCACTGTTTCTTTCCTATCTCACATTAGTTACATGCAGTAATGGGTGACCTTGTTCCCCAATTTTATTTATTGAGACTTGAGCAGAAGGCTGCTGGAGGTTTTGCAAAGTATATACACATTTAAAGATGGATGGTGATATTAGTGAATACAGTTTTCTGTTACTTTGTGTTGAATTTGGAAGATCTTAATTTAGCAAACCAATATTTTTCAAATAATCAGTCTATAAAACATGGGATAAAATTTATGCAAGGTAATAAGTAGGGAATTACTTCATGTAACAGAATCCAAGAAGTTACTGACTTTAGATTTCATATTGCAACTAACAGTTTTTTAAAATATAGCTTGCTGAGTTTGGGTGTGGTAGAAAAATATACAGAACTATCTGAAAGGATTACTAAAATACTACTTCCTAGTCATAGCTGTGAAGGATCAAATTATCTTCATGTGCTTCAGCCAAGTCAACAGATTGAATACAGCAGTACCTATGAGAATCAAACTATTATCTTTATGAACAGCTACAAAATATAAACAATACTCTCCTTAGATACTTATGGTATATAGTTGCTTTTCATAAAATGTGGTTCTTAGGTTAATCTAACAGCCTTGATAATATGTTTTAAAACTTCCTCAGTTTTAGTTTCTGACACTGTATGTATTCCTAAAGAAAAATCAAAGTGGATACCACAGAATAGATACACTGTGGTCAGTCAGCTTTCTGTCACTGGGACAAAATACCTGAGATAAATCAATTTAAAAGGAAGAAAGGCTCATTTTGGTTAATGAAACAGAAGTTTCAGTCCGTGGCTGGTTGACTCAACTGTCTCTGGGTCTTTGGGGAGGCAGAATATCATGGTCAAAAGTCTCACGGAGCAATGCTGCTCATCTCATGGCAGCTAGGAAGTGAAGACAGAGAGGAAGGGCCCAGGGCCTCAATTTCCCCATCAAGGATACATCCCCCCAGTGATGTCACTCTAAAGGTTCCCAATAGTTCCACAGGCTGGTGACAAAGCATGTAGCAT